CAGCCTTAACCTAGTATTTACAGTATCTGCAACTTCTCCCTAATTTGTTGATTCATTGTTATCAGCGTTATAAAATAAACTGCATCGAACACAATAATATCACACCCAATAATTGATAAATCAAAATCACTGTCAGTTTAATATCGCAATGTGTATTTGAAAAGTTTATCAGATCTACTGATGCACCCGCCCTAAGAGAAAATAAAGCCTCAGGCGCGAAGAGGCCGGAGTGGGGGTCGCTGTGACCGAGAAAAATCGGTTCACCCTCCCATGAAAAGTTATCACTTCAAAAAGCATCAACTCTGATTTTGCATCTAATCTAATGCTCTGATTTTGCATCTAATTTGCATAGGAAGCAGTATTTGAAACAAATGTGTCAGTTATTTGACTTAGGTATCTTTAATTAACATTCTGCAAATAGTCAGCAGTTAAAATGTCTATATTTCACAATGCTGAATGAAAGTGTGGCCCTAAATATTTGAAGAAAACCGAATCATGCAGAATGCAAAAGTATGCATTTTTGGAAATTTTTGTACGTACCTACCGATCCAAATTTGTCTGATTTCGATGTGTGGTTTTCCAAGCAATTTTGAAATTTTACTTGACACACTAGAGAAACAAAGAAATCTTTTACCGACAATTTCTTCGCTACATTTACATGTCATATTGCATTAACAAATTTGTCTCATACACGTTTTGATTGGACAACTTTCGAGGGAACGGCATAACACTCGTCCAAATTAGTCCTACACAAATAACTGTTGAAACACGACACACGCTGTACATTTTTGCCATTAGAAAAAAATTACATTAATTTCTCGGTTCACATCGCGATATGAGAATTTTCCAATCAAGCTACCATTGGAGGTTGCTCAAGTTTGCACGTTTCACCTTCTCGAGCACGCTTTTCGGCGTCGATCGCTGATGCTCGGCGAGGACGCGGTTCAAACAGCCTGGCTGTCGTGTACATAAACAACATATACTAAAATATGTTGTTTATGTATTGTACATTATATGTATGTCTCATTCTTAACGTTATTAAAGTTAAAACTTTTCCATGCGCGCCCGGGACTGTTGCTCATATTTGCATTTGAAAAGCAATTCAAAATTACGTCGATTATTAGAACACAATTGAAAATATGCTTCGATTTCTATGCCGTTTTCGTTAAATACACAGGTATAAACTGTTCCAAGCATAAATTTTCTTTTTTTTTACAGATGCAGCTATCCGTTCCGTATGTTCTGTAATAACACATAAATACCTGAAGTGAGTCATTTATCGGATATTTTATTCCTGATGCATTCACTAAATTTTATCAGGCCGAAAGCTTACTTAGAGTTATCAACCTAGTAAGTATATATTTCCGGTCAATAAAGGCGAATTTATGATAATAATCTATTAAATACATTATGATGACATGAGTTACAATTTTTTGCGATTTTCACTGTTCTTAAAAATGTTTGTTCCTGTTATGTACTACAGTGTTACCCTTCACTCGGACAGCTACAACAGATGGCCCCATCTAGCGGCGCCACGCGTCCAGGAAGCATATCAACTTTGCCCTATTTAGTTACCATTCTAAAGGGGGATATGTTCCTGAAATATCATGGGGGATGTTCTGTGGATAAGTTGTGGTTATCTTTACACTCAGGCAGAAGAGTGACACTTATTCTTGACAATTTCCTCCACACAAATTGCAGGCAACTACCCGTTCCTTTCTGCAGACTGAAGTACGATCAATAATTGAATCGCCATTCTGTCAGTGAAATCCCCTAATCTTAAACATGATAAATATGTATGCATACTTGTTTCAGCTGATTATGGTCTTTACTGATTAGGTAAAAGTGTTTTGTGTAAAAAAATGTGCTTATCTGTACATGCAAATGTATGTATGCATCATTGTACCAGATTTTTCTGAGTGTTAATTGCATTTCATTAGATCATTAGATGGTAACTGTAATATACCATGTGTTTTGTGAATACCTACATATGAAGCTTACAGTATGGCCCAGTAGGTGGCAGCACCTACTGGGATCAATGAAAGTTGTCGCAGACCCCCATCTATGATTGAACACCTTCAGCTGTACCACGAAGATTACAGGGGTCTTGAAAATTCTGGCTTTCCACTGATATTAAGCTTACTGCCTAAGGTCGATGTTTCGTCACCATCACAGCATTTCTTCGCTGGAGGAAAAGTCCAGAGAACTTGTACCATTGAATAATATTTCGTAGATGGCAGCATGTAATCTGTTTGATATTTCTTAGTTGAGATATGGAGCAAAATTCGAAGTTTAGGAAAACAGGATGTTGAGTTTGAAGTTTAGAACCAGGCCAAAAACACAGTTTTCAGAGTTTTCCTGCACTGTCGACCCTTGAGGAGGATGAATAAAGGTTGTGGTAGACAAAAAGTCAATATTTCTTTATTTCTGCGCCCCCCATCAAGAAACTCGTAGATCGCCGCTGTTTGCAGTCGGACTAAAAATCACACGTGCTGCGCTATAGGGGTCCGAACTAATGGGACTAATGGGACAAAATCATTGTAAAATAACGGGATGTATTAGGGAACAAAGGTAATTTGTTTTTGTTTGTTGAACAGGCACGTGATGAACAAATCGTAGATGTAATGAACGCGTCTTGAAAGTACTTAACTTTGTGGAAAACTTCATCAGCTAGAACATTAACTATTAGCTACCTATAACGTAGGTATAGATATATTATACATATTACGTATAATTAGAATTTGGATGTCGAGCACCGATGGTTCTTAAATTTAGGTTCTCTTGCCTTGCACAGAGCACAACGTCAAATTGGGAAAAAATTGATTTGGTGTAGCGTTGAGAATTGTTGCGAACTAAACTTGTAGATACTTATAGTATAAAGCACAAGTTTGGCTGGCTTACACCATACGATTGTACGATTCCAATTTAAACAGCGTTTCGTATTTATTTTGCGCCTCGAGCGCCGCGATGCTCGCCCGATAACGGGTGCTGTTTCCTTGGTGACGGCACGGGACGGGTCGTCGTTGTTTGTGATGAGATTTATCCACAATTACGGTACGAATTTTCAGTTGTAAATGGGGATATGGCGAGAGTTGAGTTGAGTTTCGATTTTCTTTGTAAAATTATTGATACCTAAATAATTGCCAAAAGACTCAATTGGTTTCCGCAGTAGGTACCTAAATACCTAACTACTTCTTAGATAACATCTACAAGATTGTCGGTCATTTACTCGTGTATCTTTAACTAAACTCTGTCATCGAACCAGAGAGACAGAGAGAGTGTAGAATAACATCTATAGACTGCGAATGAAACAAAACACATAATTCTGTTTACCTACTACTGGACCGTCTTATCCTCTATCTCTATGAAAAACTAGAGAGAGGCATATAAGGGAAATTTGATGTTTGGTCGAAACATGGACATGGAAACATGGAAAATGGAGATTCAACATTGGCCTCATTCCTCTGGAGGTGTTGTCTGGCGCTGTTATAGGAGTAAAAACTGAGAAATTTCCAA